ACACCTATTTCGTTTCTCATACTAATAGAAAAGTTAGAAAAATTCTACAAAATTTCTGTGGTTATAGTAAAGCAGCTGACTGAGCTACATATAGCTATTTCTCTCCTTTGGCTAGTGCAAAAGGTTATTCGGCGGTCAGTCCTCCTGAATCAAATTTTAATTTTTAAATACCCACAGCTTCCATCTTTCTTCTGAAATCCACAAAAGTTCGATCAGCTTGTACTCCAAGCTGATGTATTCCAAGCCCTTCAAGAATTTGTCGACCTTTATTTTCGAGGATTTGTTCAATTGTAGTATTTTCATCAGCAGTTAATTCGTTTTGAACAATCGAGTTCAGAATTCGAATTAAAAAAGAAAGGTCAGTAAGAGAGAAAATTTTTGGGTTCACGGGTTGTTGTAATGGATTGCCGCCAGTTTGGAGTTCAGCTAAATAATTATATTTTTATTTGGGTATTGAATGGCTGTTAAAAGTAATAATGTGTAAGGATGATTCACCCAGCAGCATTTAAAACGCTTAGGCGGGGTTTAAACGATCTAAAAAGAAAAAAGAGAAAGCATTAGTCGATGCCCCGGTAGCTCAGAGGTATATAGCTCCTGCATATAGTGAGCGAAAGCGCCTAGCAACAACTAGCAGGTGGTCCATGTTCGAATCCTGCCTGGTGGCTAAACTTTTGCAAACTCTTTCTAATGTAATAATACCCACAGCTTTCATAGGTGGTAAAAATAAATATGTAAATTGACCTGGAATTGTTGGTCCTGTCCCTTCAACCAAAAATTGTTGGGGGTACGCAACAAAGAAAAACAACAAAATAAATGGAAAAAACATTTTCCTTTTTTTGTTTTGTTGAATAATTAAAGGCAAATATTTTTATTAATGCCTTATGAATTTTAATTTAAAAAATTTTTTATTGGCAGGGAAGCGAATTTATGGAGAGGGAGTGAGAGGGAAGTTAATTGTTTAATTAATTAGAGGGATTTTAAAAATTTTTTATTGTCAAGCTGTGAGGGGGAGGGGGAAGGATTTTCAATAATCAATTATGGGAAGTGGATTTTTTATTGAGAGGGGAGGGGGGGGGATTTAAAAATTAAATCAATTGTTTAATTTTGCAGAAATAATTAATTTAATTGTTTAAACAATTTATGCAAAAAATATTTTTGCAGTAAATTGTTTAGCAAAAACATTTTTACTCCTAAAAGATACCTGAAATTACTGTATTAATAGAATGGCCGGACATACTATTTTTCGATCATCCTCCAGGGGCCATTCTATTGGAGGGGGTCATTCAAATGGAGACGTCCATTCTATTAGAGATAATACGGTATTTCACTAATTAAAACCTTAAGACTATTTAGAATCTCTAATCAAACAAATTAACATTTTATTGCTTCTGCAACTTCTTGGCAGTTATTGCCAGGAAGCTTTCGCTCTTCATGTACAAGTGCTTTCACTTTTTTAATAAATTTTAAACCCCTCCTAGTACGAGTTTTAAATTCTCGCTACAATATAATGTGTCAAGGTTCTAGCCGACCCAATTCCCGAAAATCGGGAATTTCAATTTTCTATATGTAAACGTGTCTGGTGATTTCGCCAGTGAATGATTTGGGCAGTGAGTGATATGGGCAGTAGTGATTTAGGCAGTAAACGTTTTTTAAAAAAATTTCTTTCACAAAAAAACAATTTGAGTATCACTAGAAGAATAATTATGCGTAATCTCGGCGTTAAGTATATTTTACTTGAATTTTTTAAAAATGAATAATTATAAAGACAAGTTGACATCGCAATAGAATTAAATGACAAGAGAAGGGTTAAAGTTTTATTATCTATTAAAGTTTTATGCTTGTTTAAATAAAACGTTAAAATTTTTAGTGACTTTTTTAACATAATTAAATGTCCATTACATTTCTTTAAAAAATTTTTTAAGTTTCCTAATTAACAAAATTCCTCTCTTTTCTTCATCATTCTTCTCTTTTTTAATTAATTAACGAGTTTTATATCCACCCCCGCTAGGTTTAGCACCACCACCGCCTGAGTAAGAAGCAGAACTTCCACCACCACTTGAGTAACTTTCAGCAGCTTTTGGTTTAGAAACAGCTGCTGATTTGCTTCCATCACGATTTGGGCAAGGACTGAAAATTAGACCTTTCGTCGATCATAAAATATTTTTCTTACCAGTAAGCGGCATCCTCTCCTTGTTTGCCTCCTGGGCCTTGTCCTCCTTCTTCTCCATCAGATCCAGGTGGACCTTGGAATCCGTGAGGGCCGGGTACTCCTGCTGGTCCGGGCTTTCCAATTGGACCTTCTTCTCCCTTTGGTCCTTTCGTCCCTTCCGGTCCAGGCTCTCCAGGTGGTCCACGTGGTCCGCGACGACCAATCTGCTTTTCTTCATCTTTGCCATGATCTCCCGACTTTCCAATGGGACCGTCATCTCCCGGCTTTCCTTCTTGCCCTAAAAATTTTTTGAATAATTTGGCCGTTATTCTTTTTATTTACCTTGAATTCCAGGCAATCCAGGAACACCATCACGTCCAGGCATTCCCGGTGATCCTATAGAGAATTTAAATACAAAGTGTTGAAATAACTCGAAAATCAATCTAACCCTTTGCTCCACGCATTCCTCGAACTCCTGGACGTCCAGCCTCTCCTGGTGAACCTTGTGGACCATGAGGACAATTCTGAGTATTTTTTAATGGTAATTTCTAAAAGTTTCCATGAAACTTACAATGCAACCCTTGAAAGGTGCATTTTGCCAATCTGGAGCATCCTCGCCAGGAATTCCTGGTTTGCCTCCAATTCCAGCAACTCCAGCCTCTCCTTGAGCACCTGGAGGTCCTGCAGGTCCAGCTGGGCAATTATTAGCTGCTTCGCATTTACAGACAACAGGTTGTGCAGCAGCATAACCATAATTGGAGTTAACATGGGGACTTGAACGAGAGTCTCTTTGTGGGTCTATAGCTTGTCGTCGCTCCCGGTTGGAAGGAGTGCCGGCTCCAAGTAGAAGCATGTCATTCCAAAGACCGTCGGACTCGGCCTGAATTTTCATTCATACCTTACATCTAGATAACCCTTTAGGACAGCAACAATCCTATATTTGATGAGAATGTGCCCTAAACTGGACGTATTGCTTAGATTCTCTCTGACACTTGAGAAACTCCCCAGTCCATTGGCTAACCAAACAATAAAAACATATCCTAAACTGAAGTTTCTCTAGTATCGGAGAGGATTTAAAAATGAGGTATCAATCCCAAAATTACATTAAATGTATCCATTTGCTTATCCAATTCCATCCACAAATCCTGCATATCATTCCAAACCGCAAATAAACCTCCCAAGCAAAGGACCAAAGTTGCTCCACTAAAAGCAATAGCCCCAACAGTAGCTATATGGGTAGTTGAAGAAGACATTTCTCTCTCTCTCGTTTTTGAGAGTCACAAAATGGAGACTGATAAAAGAATAAAAGTCCTTTTATATTAAACACATATCTCTCTTTAACTTCAAAAAAGGATATATAAACGTTAAAAACTGGTAATTTTGTTAATTATATTTGTTAGTTAAGAAGGGAATAATGCGCAGAAATGTCAATCATTTATCGCACAGGAAATGATTTTTTCCTTAATTTTTTCTTTGTTAGCCGCTAAAAGGTAGAAGAGAACTTTTATTCGAAGAATAAACAAAAGATTCTCGTTTAAATCCGCAAGTTTTTATAAGAAAACTTGCGGATAAATTACTTATAAATGAGAAAAAACGTCAAATGTTGATCGACGCTAAACCCCCCAACGTGTAAAAAAGAACAGGATTAGCGCAACCACAATTTAGTAATTTAACAAAAAATACCTAACTAGTAATTTATCAAAAGTTTAGCAAAAAGATTAATGTTTGGAAAGAAAAATTTGGAAAGAAAAATTTAAAAAATTCAACTTCATCGTATAACAATTTTGAAGACTCGGTCGAAGTCAACTCGATTTTCTTTTCAATTCGAGTCGGCTTTCCTTTCAATAGTATACCGTATATATTTTATTTATTACCCTCCCTTGAATAATACCCTCTCTTAAATAATTACCCCCACCAGCGAGTGATCGAAAAAATAATTGCCCGGGATAATTAACACAGTTTTTACGGTAGAAGAATAAATATGATTCAGAAAATTAGAAATAATGTTCAATGATTTTTGAAAAAAAAATAAAATAAAAGTTTGTGTCCACACTAAACTACAAGGTAACATACATAATAAGAATGTCTATAATCTTGAAGTTTATAGGGCATCTATTTACTATAATTTATTACAACATTTTATAACTTAATGACAGATAAATTATTATTGCAAATACATATATAGGTGCCAGAAAGACACAAAATTACAATTTCCGGCACTTCAGGTTGCTTTCAACAATCTCAAAAATATTTAAAAAAAAATTTTTTTATACGTCACAATCAGACCCCGTCAGCCCCACTTCCAATTGAAGAAATTAGTCAAATAAAAAGGTGTAAAAATTTTAAAAATTAAACCAAAAAAGACGAAAAAATCAAAAATCATTCCCTTAATTTAGTGTATTTTACTCTCAAAAATATTTTAAAAAAATATTAAAATATATAATTAATCTTCTATAAATATTTTTTATTTTTACGAATATTTTGAACGATTATTTTACACTATTCACAATTAGGCGAAAACATTTTTTGACCAAAATTTTTGTTAAAGTTTTCGCAAATTAATTTGATAAATATTGAAGAAAACAATTTTAAAAAAATATATTTAAATTAATCAAAAAATTGTTTGTCAATAAAATGTTCAGAGAAAATTAAATTTTAGAAAAAAATAACCTTCCCTTTATTTCTTCTCCAACCTACCCCTCCCATCCTCTCTCTCTTCTCCCCCTCCCTCCAACCTACCCTCCTCAATCGCCATCATCTACCTCTCCCCTTCACCCCCTTCTCCCTCCCCTTCTCCTCCAACCTACCCATACCCCTCTTTTCTCATTTTATTTTTTAAATTTAACCAAATAAAATGTTAATTAATTTAAATATTTTACTAATTTTTTATTTTCCCCTATTTTTATTAAATACAAAATTAACTCAATCTGTCCATATTAGTATTGATATAAATCCGGAAAAATTTGAAAGAATTATTTCTTTAAAAGAATCAAATGAATATTACAAAAATGAGGAAAATAATGATTTTGTAAAACATTTATCTTCCTTGAAAAATAAAGAGGTTGGAAATCTTTTTATTGAGGTTTTGTGTGTTGATATTAGAGGATAGAATTTTTATAGAGCCTGGACCTGTTCCTGGACTCTGGACTGGATCCTGGGCCTGTAGTCTGCAAAATAGAAATATATGGCTTGTCAACAGAATCTATGAATAATTCGAATATGCCCCAGAGTTGATATTGTAAGGATGATTTACCTAGAGAATTTAAAACGCTTAGGCGGTGGTTCACCGATCTACAAAGATAAAGAAAACATTAGTTGTTGCCCCGGTAGTTCAGAGGTAGAGCTCCTGTATATGGTGAGCCCTAGCAATAACTAAGAGGAGGTCGCAGGTCCTGCCGGCGGCTAAACGTTTCTTTTTTCTAGCTAGAAAATTGGAAGAAAGCTCACAAATGTGGAATGACAATATCACAAAAGATCAAGTTTAAAAAGGTTTTTAAAAAATCTGAAAAAAATTTCTTTTCTCAATTTAAAGGAATTAAAAGACTTTTTGGAAGCAAAAACTTCTCAAATGTATCCTGAAAGTTTTAATATTCGAGTAGACAATAAAGTTGAAGCAGAAATTTATTCAACAAGAATTAAACATTATGTTCCTCCACATTTTACATTTCGGGTTAGATTTCTTTTCAAATTATTTTTAAAGTCAGACACTCATTATAAGGTATATGTGCGTGTTTTGAAAATTAAAAAAAAATAATCTGCAAGTGTCAGGCGAGTTTAGTAGCGCTGTTAGTTAGTCCTCTAACCAAATTTTTTAAATTCCATGTGAACAAGAATCCAAAATTTCTCCAGCCGTACATATGGTCCAAAGATACCGTATTTACTTGATTAATTCCCCCGAGGAATTATTTTTTCAACTCATCCCTGGCATGGGGAATTAATAGGGGGTGGGGAATTATTCGAGGGTGGAGAATTAATCGAGTAAATACGGTACATATTAAGATAACATAATATCGACAAATCGAATTTATTTTATCTGTAAAAGTGGACTAACGTTCGGACGGTATTATGGTCAGACTGTGATTTGTCCCTCCTTATACAAAGACCAACGAATTTAAAAAAACATCTTAATTCGAAGTGTATTCTCATAATGAGAGGGTCTAACTGTATATTTTATTTTATACTTTAATTTTCAGCATTTCTGCCCTCAAAATATTTCATATTTCCCAATTATTTCACTAATTGGTGGAGCTCTATCAATTCGAGCACATTATAGTTCAATCAACACTACCGGCGATTTACATGTTCAAGTTGGGGCAATGAGGGCTGAATACGAAAAATCAAATAATTCCAACTTTGTTGAGTGCCACTCAAAAGTCGGACTTGTAAATGTTCTTTTTAGCCCCGAATTAAGTCCAGAAGTGGACAAGGCATTTACTGAAGATGTTAAAGACAAAATTAAAGAAATATTGTGTAATCAACTGATAAAATTTGTTCAGCAAAACGAACAGAAAAACAAGGAATAATGTTAGAGAAAATCAAAACTCCTCTAATTCAAAACGTCCAAGAGAGAAAAATAAGCCAAATTGTAGAGGGAAAATTTTGATAATTTTATTAAGGGACACGCCCAAGTAGGCGCGCGCCATAACTACGCAAAGCCATAACTTTTTGGAAAATTTCTCGCTCTTAACAATTTTGATACCAATTTCTTTAGCTCGATGAGAGGAATCGTTTAATACTAAATTTGTTAAGATTCGGAAATCTTGAAGCAAGTTGTGGTTTTGCGCCGTTATGGCCGCGCGCTTACTTGGGCTGCTTAAAAATTATTTTTTTACCTTCAAAAATTTTATTAATTTTAAAACTAAATAAAATTAAAAACAAAATTAAATTCCATGTTCTTTCCTAATCTTTTTGGCTTCTTCAAAAGCCATTTGTTCTCTCAAAAATTTAGCATGTTCCTCCCGACGCTTATTCTCTTTAAATTCTTCATAAAAATTTTTGAATTGTTCAGTGGTCTTTTTGGCCCTTTCATTATTGTAATATGGATTTGTTTCTCTCCATTTTTTCTAAATTAGAAAAGAAATTGTAAAACTTGCGGATTAAACCCTTATTTTTATTTGATTTTTAAACTTAGTCTTGAAGCAGACTAAGTCTTACATCCATTTTTGCATTGCGGACGCAGATTTTCGTCTCTTGACCAATAGAATATTGTTAATTATAGTTGAAAGGGTCCGCAACAGAAGTAGGTCGGAACAGTCAGAGGTGTCGGAAATCGGAAGAGCCGGAAATGGGAACTGGCTTAAAAGTCGGAACTCGGAAATCAAAATTTTTTCGGAAATCGGAAGGAAAAAACGTCGGAATTCCGACCAACCTCTGGTCCGCAAGAATCAGAAAATATCCGCAAGAAGCAAAAATGTCCGCAAACCTACCCAAATTTATTTCTTACAAAATTTCCAACTTACCATTTTTCCTTCAACGAAAGTACTATTAAAAATCCAAACAGCAGCCACAGGAAAGAAGATATATAAGCAAACTTTCATCACTTCAGCTCTAAATTGGTATCTTCTAATTGGAGTATTCATCATTCTTCGATTTTCTTCCTTAGCTTTTTTCATGTTTTCGTCAATTTTGGCTTGCCGTTCTTTTCTTTCTTGTTGAGACAACATTTTTAGAAAAATAAATATAAATTTGTTTTTACCTAGAAAAATAAAGATTTTTGTAAATAAAATTCAGAAAATTAGTTGTTATACACATACAAAAATAAATTTTATTTTTCTCTAACTTTTATAGAAAAACAACAAAAAATTAATTTTTGGCGTATTTAAATAAAAATAATTTTCTTGGCATTCTGTCTTTTTTCCTTTTTTTTTTATTCCTAGTGAAGGGCAAAATCGATTTTTTTAATGCCAGATCCAATTTCCGAGCTTATTACTAGAACAAGATCTTGCGACTTCTTTCTGGGTTAATCCAAAGATTTCGAAACAACCCGAATGTAAGACCCTCATTTCCTGAAAATTCGGCCAGAACCTGTTCGTCGCCAGTCACTCCTTTTTGCCCATTTTTCCATTTTTCGATATATGTATTTTTTATTAGAATTTGAGAATTTTATTTATTTTTCTATTATCTTTTTAGTTTCTAACCTCTTATCCTTACACTTAGAAGGGTTGCCGGCCCGGTCTGGTTCGAGAGATCGAGTCGGGCATCGAATTTTGGCCCAAAAAAGACTCGGCCGGGCCGGCCCGATAAAATTGAGACCCGAAAAATGATTCAAACGTCGGCTCGACTCGAAAACAGCAACCCTAATCAGCTTTTTAAAAAGATTTGTCCGCAAGTCGAGTCCGCAAAACTCAAAATTTTTATGCTTATTTTTCTCACATTTTTTCTTTCAATTTTCTACATTTTTTGTCTTGTTTTTACAATTAATTTTTGTTTTTTTTTAGTTATTTTTGTATTTTAAATTTTTATAAAGACTTAATAAATTTTGTTTTTAAATGTCAAGTAAAAAGGTTTGTTTCTGTTTAATTAAGTAATTTTTTGGCAAAATTTAGTTATCGCCTAGTGAGGAACTTGAGAAGCAATATAGGGATTATAAAGCACAATTTGAGGAATGGAAACTAAAAAATCGGTTTATTATTTTATTTTTAATTTTATTTTTTGCGGGCAATTTAATGGATTTTGAAGGTGTTATTTCTATTTGTAGTTCATTTCCCCTCGTGCCTGTTTTCTAAATTGTATAAGATAACAATTTTAGGGATAGTAAATGTCAAAAATCCTTGGATTTGGTTGAGGACCTTGACTAAAATTTTTAACTTAAGTCAAAGGGTTGTGTCCGCACTTGCAGAAAAAAACCCAACATTGGCTTGGATAGGTGCACAGTTGGTTGTGCTTCGGTCTGGGCTCATTCTGTGATGGTTCAATACCACCCATCCAAAAATTTTCCACAGCATAACATTATACAGAGGAAAATTCCTTGACCCTGGATCCAGGCCAATCTCTACAATTTAAACTCCTCAACGGGGTTACTAAATTGGATTGAATCCTTTCCAAATTAATTAGCTCGGCTGGTTTAGTTTTAGAAAAGCCATGTCCAACTAATTCCACTCTGGCCTAATTTTTATTAAAAAAATTTTTCTGTAAAACCGCAAACCTCTTAATTTATTCATTTTTTACTTTAAGAGATTCTGAAGGAACTGAGGCTTATGTAAATTATGTCAAACAATTCCATCAGTGGGAAAAAGATGTTGAAAAAAGACGAGCAACGTTACGGCAGAAGGCAGAAATTGACAGAATATCAGCAGAAAAGGAAGCTGAAATATCCAGAAAAGAAACTGAAGAAAAGAGGAGAAAAGAAGGTTTTTTTTGGATTTTAAAAAATATTTATAAATTTTTGGAGTACTTTTCTCAATTTTTTTAAACATTTGGGGATTTTGAACTTTATGGGTTCAATTTGTATTTTTTCCCTGTTTTCTCTTTTCCACCTCTGTCTTAAACTTAGATATATACAAATATAGGATGTGTGACATACTCGATTTTGACCGTCATTTTCTTCATGGCTTGTTAGTCTTGGACTACTTCATAGAAAATGTAGGGACGGGAGCAGGCCAACGTACCGCGAGGCCACAAAATAGTCGAATCCGGGTCGCCGTAGTATGTTTCGATGCATCTCGACGAGCTGAATCGAACTATATCAGGGCGTTCCGGACTCGACCATTTTGAACGAAGTTATAGCTCTGCGGTACGTTGGCCTTGCGGTACGTTGGGGTGTACTCGTAGGGACTAACAATATCCTCAAATTGATCAACCACCCAAAATTATTTATTTTGATTTATTTATTTGCTGACATTAGCCAAAATATGAAAAAATGGGTAGAAATAAAATTAGAGTCCATAAAGTTCAAAAATCTCCATTATCTTTTCCCTTCAAAAAAATTTTCCAAAATAAATTTAATTTTTTAAATAGAAGCCTTCTCCCTCCGAATAAATCCAAAAATAAATTTATTTTAATTAGAAGCAGCAGCAAAAGCATATGCAGAAGAACAAGCACAATATATTTCAATGCATCAAAAAGCAATGCAGGAAGAACAACAAGGAAGGCTTAAACAACAAAAACAAATAAAAAATTCTTTTTCTGGAACTAATTTGGATTTAATGGCTTCTCCCGTAACAGATTTTCATTCTTCCCCAGTTCATCAACAGCAACAAAAATCTTTAAAAGGCGAAAGTAGTATTGGAATACCTGAAGATGATAATAATGCTTCTGGTTTGTTTTTTCTTAAAAAAATTTTTAAAATTTTATATGAGATACGAATTAAAAATTGTGCTTTAATTAATAGCTTTTATCCGTTTATTGTAAAATTATCATTCTAATTAAATTTTGGTTGTTAAAGTTTTTTAATTTCCTTTTAAAAATAGGTATGACATGTGAATAAAAGGCTATTAATTTGAAGCATTAATTCGATCCTACTGCGAATCAGAGTGGGTCGGAACAGTCAGAGGTGTCGGAAATCGGAACTGGCTCAAAAGTCGGAACTCGGAAGTCAAAATTTTTTTCGGAAATCGGGATTCCGACCCACCTCTGCTGCGGATTGGGTAGGAAAACTTGCATCCCTCCTTTACTTCTTCCTTGAAGTGTAGAGATTCTATAAAACTTAAATACCATACAAAATTTCCAAAAAATTTTCTTCTGATGTTAGAAAGTTTCTTAAAAAAATTTTCTTCTCTTATCTCCCCTTGAAAAAATAACTTTTCTTTATACGTCTTTACAGGACAATTTTGTTGACCCTATCTGTAAATAAATTTTTTATTTTTTAAAAAGATATGCTTTCTGCAATGCAACAAATGTTTAGCATAGTTATGGGGGATACAGCAAAACTTGCAGCAGCAGCAACAAAAGAAAAAAGTGCCAATAATAGTAGCAACAATTCTATTTCTGCAATCCCTGCAGCCCTTCCACCTCCTTCAAATATTAATGAAACTTTACAAAAACCTGGGGTTTCTTCTGATTTATCTTCACAACCTCCACAACTTTGGGGCAGTGAAGGAGCTTTGTTTTCTTCAGCGGTTTGCTTGAAAGATTTCTTTTAAATTAATATTACGTTTGGAACTCCGAAAAATTTTTCTGGTTACGGGAAAAATTTTGGACTACCATACAAGGTAGCCTAATTTTAGGGGTTTCTCTATCTAACCTACGTCCTTTAAATTTGCTTACTCGGAGTAAAAGACGTTTCTAAAACGACACCTCCAATTTAAGTTGCACATCCTCAGGCCCGTAATCAGAAAAAATTTTTGGTGGAATTTTTTCCTACCTACCATTCAATTTTCATCGGGTTTTGGCCGCCACCTCATTTAAATTTTGGTTAATTCTAGAAGGAATGAACTGCTTAAACCATACTCACGAATTCGGATACACCTCATTATTAGATACAATTTTTTTAATTTCAGTTTTGTATTTATAAATTAAATTTCGACATTAACGGAATTTTATTCCCTTTATTTTTTGTTTTTCCCTACAAAAAAAAATCTATTTCTCCTAAATTTTCTAATGTTAAATAATACTTTTTTTAATATTAAAAACTTTTTCTTCTTGTAGGATCCAATGTTCCGTCGTTGGAATGTTCGTGCTGCGCCACCCAATTTTCGTGTGCCATACCAACCTCCACCTTCAGGAACGTTAGTCCAACCGGGCTGGCTTTATTTACGTAAAATGGAAGAAGCAAAATTGGCTTTTGCTCCTCCACCTGATCTTTCTACAGCCCCACCAATTATTCAGCAACAACAACAATTAATAAATATACCTCAAAATAATTTACCCCAAATGGCGGGGCATCCAATGCCGCCAGCAGCAGCTACACATTTAAGCGTTCCACCGCCCGCGATTATTCCTCATCCCCCACATCCCCATCACCCCCACCATTCCCAACAATTTAATCATCATCAACAATTCCATCCTCCACCTCAATATTCTATTTTCCCTCCAAATATTCCCTCATTATTAATGGGTGGAAATAATTTATCTATTCCTCCACCGCAACATCCAAGCAATCCCCCTCTTCCTCCTCAAGCAAATTTTCGTCCCTATTATAATTTGCATTGAAAGCATTTTGTTAAAGTATTTTTTAAACCCGAACATTTATTGTTTTTGTATTTCATATGAATTAATGAATATTTTTTAAAGATTTCTCGCAATTTTATTTTGCTGTCAAGATTTATTTTGTTATATTTGTTCGCGTTTTTCTTAAAAATTTATTTTTTAATGTTAGGCAGTTCTTGAATTTATAATTAATTATCGGATTTCGCTTTCCGTTTGTTCTCATTTGCAAAAATTCGTTTTTTTTTTTGTTTCTTAATTATTTCAGCACATGTCTATCACAAATTCAATTGTCATTTATTTTATTATAGATACAAAATCAGACCTCATAAGCAGAGGTTGGTCGAAATTTCGATTTCCGGCGTTTTTCTCCTTCCTATTTCTGATTTCCGAAAAAATTTGATTTCCGACACCTCTGACTATTCCGACCCACCTCTGCTCATAAGAAATACTCCCAATCTCCTCTGTTCAATTTACGTTTAGACCGCTTTTTTGTCTTGGTTGGCCACCTAGCCCCCAACGAATTTTAAAAATATTGTGGGCTTTTAAAATATATCTCAACATAGCATTCGTTTTTCGGCCTCAAGGGGTATCTTATAGTAAAGTTTGACAAATATTTTTGGCTGAAATAATATAAATCTTCGTGTTTTATTTGAAAATGTTTTTTACTTTTTTATAAAATAAATGTTTTAGTCTATAAAATTTGCAGATTTGAAATTTTTTAATTAGCAGCATTAAAATTTCTTTTATTTGTAAATATTTTAAACTTGCCAAATAAAAATGTTTGTAAAATAGAAATGCAACTATGTATATAAAAAAGGATTTGGAATTTTTTAATAGTTGGGCAGTTGTTTAACGAGTGCAGGTTCAGTTAATCTTTTAAAAAATTTGAGGTTGGGGGCAGGCCCGTAGCCAGGATGGTATGAAGGAATCCCATAATCCAGGAAAAGAAAATCATTTTGGTAAGGGAGAAAAGCTGGATTTTTTTAGCTTACGGCTGGTTGGGGGATAAGCACGATGATTTTTGTTTTCGTACAATAAAATAATCTTATAGTTTTCGCTTGTCTAATAATGCTTAATTAAGGTTATCTTTGAAATTTCGTTCCTTTTATCGAATTCGGCATGTTTTACAACAATTTTTCGCACAAATTTAAACAATTTGTGGTTATATGTATATAAAGAACAGACAAGTTGTTTTTTAATTGTTTATATTCAATAAAATTTTTTGCTAATAGAATAAATAATGTTTTAATTTGTCAATTGATTTTTAATGTGTTTCTTCTCTATTTATTTTTTTATTAAATAAAGGTCCAAACATTTATACATATTTGCTTTTTCAAGCTTTTTTCATTAATTATCTTTAATAAATTATTCAATAATGAGTACAGGATTTATTTAAGGATTAGACATTTTATAAGACTCGGGATTTAATCTTTTAATTTTCGAAAAAGCAAAACAATCAGATTTAACGTCAAGATCGCTTGGACTGAGGAAATTTTGTCATAGACGAAGGATTTACTAAATAGATTAGGGGGCTCCACATCCAGTTGCCAAATTAAAAAAAAACATTTTAGTCTCGTATTTTGTATATCTCATTGTGAGGTCCGATTTTGCGTAAACGCTCAAAACAATAAATAAAGTTCTGAAAATTGAAAAAAACTTAATTTTAATAAAGCAACTAATGCTTTCTCTCTTCTTTTTAGATCGTTTAACCCACGCCTAAGCGTCTAAATGCTGCTCTGCTCCCACCTCGGATCCATACGGATTGCCAAAAATATTAGCTTGGCCAGCTCTTCTTAATCCCCACATATATAAATTATATTCTAACTGCAGTCTGTCTTACATAAATTGTTTCTTTAAAAATTGTCTTATAGCAGTGAACAGCCAAATTGAAAATTCCTGTCTTACTTTATAACAATTTTTCGAATTTTAATTTTCGAGGATTCTTTTTGAGCATGATTCATTATTGTATGTGTTGGAAATATATGTATTAGCATTAAATAAAAATAAATCGATGTAGATTGAAAAGGGTGGTTTAAACAAAAGGGTGGTTCAAAGTATGTAAAAGCTGACAGTTTCTGAAAAGTAGTGTAATAAAAATTCCAAATAAATTTCCATTTAATCATTTACTTTCAGTGAACAATTTATATATATTTTTGCCTTATTTTTATATATTTTTGAGCAAAATGATCAAATTTCTAATTCTAATGTGTTTAATAATCAAAACCAATTCATGGACATGGGAGGATTATCCATCTCCAAGAGGACCAGATTATTCAAAATGTGGTGTTACAAAACCAGCCTATGTTTGTGATCCTGATGGAATGTTAACTGATCGACAAAGAGAGGAAATTGTTGAATTGGTTGAGGATTTTAAGGAAAAAACTAAAAGGGTAAAACTTGATAATTTTATAAAAAATACAAATAAATTTATGGGTGTGAGGCAAAACACAGTCCAATCAAAACAGCGCCGGACATTATTGTAAAAATATACCTTATAATTTTAAAATTCGATTTATTTCGATATTATGTTGTATTTAGAAGAACGTTTACAGACCTACATATCAGGAGTGGCGCAAGTGCCACTAAATACGAGACACGAGATTTCATGAGATACGAGCGCCACTCCTGCTACATATGGCTGTAAATATCCAGCTCGCTGTCCATTAGTCAGCTAAAAATTCGTTCCTTGTTTGGGATTTAAATAATTCGACAAAAGGTTTTCTAATATTCGCTAGAACCTCCGTAGTAGTGATGCTCGGGTATCCCGATCCCGTTTCCCGGGTTTTTCTTCTCCCGAGCATCACTACTCCGTAGTCCCTCCTTTTCTTTATCGTTGATTAAGGAGAGGAGGGACTATGGATTATATCACCGATTGAGGGAGATGAAGAGGATATGGAGATAACGTTCATTACGTCCATTTTTCTGTATTTTCTGTAAAATGCAGAAAAATGTCTTTAGCTTAATCCCTTTTGGGGAACATATGTGCAGCGAGCTGGACTTACCATCTATGGCTATTAGAGCCTGGCTACTATCTATAAAGCCTTTCCTAAAAATTTTATTTCAAATTTTGTTACTTTTTGTGAAATGAATGTGTGTGGACGCTGTTTCGACCGGACGGTGTTTTGCCCCGCATCTTAATTTTATAGCCAAATTCAACAGTTCGTTGTATGGATGAAGGCCTTCGACTCATTATAGCCTTAGCAAAAGACAAAATTGGCCCAAATCGTGGATATACAGTATGTTTTTAATAAATGGGGGAGATCAATGTTTTAACTTCGGGCAGTGATGCGGGGGTTCCGGTTCCGGAACCGGTACTGGAATTTGAACCGTGGAACCGATAGATGCCTGGGACCGGTTTGGTGGAACCGAAACAATATTTTGGCTTAATAAAAGAGGGGAGGGCTTAATAAAATTGGCTTAATAAAAGAAAGGAGGGTATCTTCTTTTGATTACGAACTAAAAGCAATTTAGTTCTTTAATTTCAGAATTATATTGATAAAATGATAAACGATTAATTTTATTATGTAGAATTTGTGCATTTATCAAAGTTGGACGTCAACTGATCCAACAAACTGCAAATCAAATGTGCATGGAATTGAAGTCAATTTAGATAGTTACAGTCATTGCCATTGGCTAAGTTCGCTAATGGAACTTCATGAAGACGAATATGAAAAGTTCGCCAAAGCTGGAGTAAAAATTTAAAAAATTCGATTAATGCTACGCTTACATAAAAAACGCAAGACGCCGGCGGAAGACGCTCGGCGACAAGACGCCGGCGGAAGACGCAGTTTCGTGCTTACATAAAATCGGCGTCTTCCGCTAAGCGGGAAGACGCAAAGCGTCAAAACGCTAGTTTTATGTAAGCACAAAACAGCGTCTTCCGCCGGCGTCTTGACGCCGAGCGTCTTCCGCAAAAAGCTGCGTTTTTTATGTAAGCACTAATTGCGGACTAAATTTATAACAAATATTTTATTGAAATTAAATTGAACAAATAATATTAAATCATTTTATCCTGCCATGATACCGATCCAACTTCAATGGTAAAATATTCTACTTAGAGGTCGGCGCGGGACGGGATCCCGACGGGATTTTCCGGGATCCCGGATTTTTGTTATTATCGGGATCATTCGGGAGGTAATTCTTCGGTTGTCGCCCCCCCTTTTTATGTTTCCCTGACCATTTTGAGCTTTTTTGCTTGACATATAATTTATTATATATCATTCGAAAGAGCTATCCGAGCTGGGTAGATTGGTACTAAGATCGGTTAGATTTGGCGATTTTGAACAAACTTATGAGGCTAAATCCTCTGTCACTAAATCCTCTTATGAGGCTAAATCTTCATATTCAAAAAAATTTAAAAGTTTGGAACTAGGAACTGGAACTAGTTCCAGAGATATTTTGGAACTTTCCCATCAGCCTCGATTTTCCCCAAAACTTTTTGTCTTTAACTATATGGTACGAGCCCTAGTCATTAAGAAATGGTCAATTTTTCATGTTTTTGGTATTATTTGATAGAGAATCAAAAGCTCTACAACATAACAAAAAATCAGAATTTTTGACCGATTGATAAAAAAGTTATGATATAAATACTTTTTTATCTCGAAAATCTCAAAAATATCGAAAAAAAAGAATATTTTTTGCAAAAAGTATACCTTTTTCAAAATCAATTTTAACCCATAAGATTTAACTTTAAAAATATAAAATTTATATTGATCGATAGAGAATGAATTGAATTTTCAAAATCTTTTTAAATTTTGAAAATCGGATTAGAATTGGCCGAGAAATGATCAAGACGCTAAAAGTTGCCGCAAAAAATTCAAACATGTTTGAATTAAAAAAAGAGACGCCGGCGTCAAGACGCCGGCGGAAGACGCAGTTTATGTAAGCACTCAAAAAAAGCGGCAAGACGCCGGCGTCAAGACGCCGGCGGAAGACGCGAGTTATGTAAGCACGCAAAAAAAGCGTCAAGACGCCGGCGTCTTGACGCCGGCGGAAGACGCAGTTTATGTAAGCACTCAAAAAAAGCGGCAAGACGCCGGCGTCTTTTACTCTCCTCATTTCCCATTATCTTTTCTGCCGCAAGACGCGCGCGTTTTTTATGTAAGCGTAGCATAAGAGATTTTGAAGTATCAAAATAAAATTAAGTTTATTTTACAATATAAATCAGAGATTCTGTCTTCCCGATTCCTAAAAATAGGAAATTTTTGCAGCAGAATCATTGATTTATGTACAGGGTGCGGCAAATTTAGCGCCTACTTTATTTTTTGAATAACTTTCTTCAAACTCGATAAAAATTGATAATTCTTTTTTTATTTGATCCCCAACACTCTAGGAAAATTTTTGGAACCGAATATTAGAAATTCGGTTTACAGATAATAAAGATATGCCCGAAATAGTCTATAAATCGCATCAAGAAATATATTTTTATGCCAAAGTTTACTTTATCATAACTTCGTTCAATGTCATCCAATCTTACTAATTTTGGTATCAATCGACTCGTTTAGACGAGGAGCATCGCAATAGTCTATAATTAGATTTTTGAAAATTTCACCTAAAAATGTCAAATTTAACATCAAGTTCCAAATTTATCATTCAAAGGCATATATCTCAGCTCAAGAACAAGATAATCGTCTAGTTCTTATGTCAATCGAATCAGACAAAAGAGCTTATTCGAATGATATAAACATACTGAATATCAGACACACGGTTTTTAAATCAGAAGACTTTTGGTTCAAAAATTTTTGCCAAAACTTTATGCAAAAATACTCAAATTAATTTATAAAATTTAGAGAATATTTTTGTATCGTAAATTTTCCTAGAGTGTTGTGAATCAAATAAAAA